AAATAAGGAATCAATAATTATTACCGGAGAGGCAGGAAGAAGAGGACTCTTTAAAGTAGAGACACTACATACTGATATATACCTGAACATCAGCAGGAGAGGACTCTTTAAAGTAGAGACACTACATACTGATATACACCTGAACATCAGCAGGAGAGGACTCTTTAAAGTAGAGACACTACATACTGATATATACCTGAACATCAGCAGGAGAGGACTCTTTAAGTAGAGACACTACATACTGATATACACCTGAACATCAGCAGGAGAGGACTCTTTAAAGTAGAGACACTACATACTGATATATACCTGAACATCAGCAGGAGAGGACTCTTTAAAGTAGAGACACTACATACTGATATACACCTGGACATCAGCAGGAGAGGACTCTTTAAAGTAGAGACACCACATACTGATATACACCTGAACATCAGCAGGAGAGGACTCTTTAAAGTAGAGACACTACATACTGATATATACCTGAACATCAGCAGGAGAGGACTCTTTAAAGTAGAGACACTACATACTGATATACACCTGAACATCAGCAGGAGAGGACTCTTTAAAGTAGAGACACTACATACTGATATACACCTGAACATCAGCAGGAGAGAACTCTTTAAAGTAGAGACACTACATACTGATATACACCTGAACATCAGCAGGAGAGAACTCTTTCAAGTAGAGACACTACATACTGATATACACCTGAACATCAGCAGGAGAGGACTCTTTAAAGTAGAGACACTACATACTGATATACACCTGAACATCAGCAGGAGGGACTCTTTAAAGTAGAGACACTACATACTGATATATACCTGAACATCAGCAGGAGAGGACTCTTTAAAGTAGAGACACTACATACTGATACACCTGAACATCAGCAGGAGAGGACTCTTTAAAGTAGAGACACTACATACTGATATATACCTGAACATCAGCAGGAGAGGACTCTTTAAAGTAGAGACACTACATACTGATATACACCTGGACATCAGCAGGAGAGGACTCTTTAAAGTAGAGACACCACATACTGATATACACCTGAACATCAGCAGGAGAGGACTCTTTAAAGTAGAGACACTACATACTGATATACACCTGAACATCAGCAGGAGAGGACTCTTTAAAGTAGAGACACTACATACTGATATACACCTGAACATCAGCAGGAGAGAACTCTTAAAGTAGAGACACTACATACTGATATACACCCTGAACATCAGCAGGAGAGAAGAACTCTTTAACGTAGAGACACTACATTACTGATATTACACTCGAACATCAGCAGGAAGCAGGACTCTTTAAAGTAGAGACACTACATACTGATATACACCTGAACACAGCAGGAGAGGACTCTTTAAAGTAGAGACCACTACATACTAGATATATACCTGAAACATCAGCAGGAGAGGACTCTTTAAAGTAGAGGACACTTTACATACTGATATACACCTCAACATCAGCAGGAGAGGACTCTTTTAAAGTAGACGGACACTAACAATACTGATATATACCTGAACATCAGCCGGCAGAGGACTCTTTAAAGTAGACGACACTACATACTTAGATATACACCTGAACATCAGCAGGAGGAGGACTTCTTTAAAGTAGAGACACTACATACTGATATGATACCTCGTACACATTCAGCAGGAGAGGACTCTTTAACAGTAAGAGACACTACATACTGATATACACCTGGACATCAGCAGGAGAGGACTCTTTAAAGTAGAGGACACCACCATACTGATATACCACCTGAACATCAGCAGGAGAGGACTCTTTAAAGTAGAGACACTACATACTGATATACACCTGAACATCAGCAGGAGAGGACTCTTTAAGTAGAGACACTACATACTGATATATACCTGAACATCAGCAGGAGAGGACTCTTTAAAGTAGAGACACTACATACTGATATACACCTGGACATCAGCAGGAGAGGACTCTTTAAAGTAGAGACACCACATACTGATATACACCTGACATCAGCAGGAGAGGACTCTTTTAAAGTAGAGACACTACATACTGATATACCTGAACATCAGCAGAAGAGGACTCTTTAAAGTAGAGGACACTACATACTGATATACACCTGAACATCAGCAGGAGAGGACTCTTTAAAGTAGAGACACTACATACTGATATACACCTGAACATCAGCAGGAGAGAACTCTTTAAAGTAGAGACACTACATACTGATATACACCTGAACATCAGCAGGAGAGGACTCTTTAAAGTAGAGACACCTACATAACTGATATACACCTGAACATCAGCAGGAGAGGACGCTTTAAAGTAGAGGAACACTACATACTGATATACACCTGAACATCAGCAGGAGAGGACTCTTTAAAGTAGAGACACTAACATACTGATATATACCTTAACATCAGCAGGAGAGGACTCTTTAAAGTAGAGACACTACATACTGATATACACCTGAACATCAGCAGGAGAGGACTCTTTAAAGTAGAGACACTACATACTGATATATACCTGAACATCAGCAGGAGAGGACTCTTTAAAAGTTAGAGACACTACATACTGATATACACCTGGACATCAGCAGGAGAGGACTCTTTAAAGTAGAGACACCACATACTGATATACACCTGAACATCAGCAGGAGAGGACTCTTTAAAGTAGAGACACTACATACTGATATACACCTGAACATCAGCAGGAGAGGAACTCTTTAAAGTAGAGACACTACATACTGATATACACCTGAACATCAGCAGGAGAGAACTCTTTAAGTAGAGACACTACATACTGATATACACCTGAACATCAGCAAGGAGAGAACTCTTAAAGTAGAGACACTACATACTGATATACACCTGAACATCAGCAGGAGAGGACTCTTTAAAGTAGAGACACTACATACTGATATACACCTGAACATCAGCAGGAGAGGACGCTTTAAAGTAGAGACACTACATACTGATATATACCTGAACATCAGCAGGAGAGGACTCTTTAAAGTAGAGACACTACATACTGATATACACCTCAACATCAGCAGGAGAGGACTCTTTAAAGTAGAGACACTACATA